TACGTTCTGGGTCCGCCAAGACGTCAAGCAATAACACAAACGCACCGTATTCTGTGTTACCTTTGTGTCTCGGTGAAAACTGCAATTCACATTACAAGATACAAGAAAATTAACGATGATTCGGATGTCTGTGCAGCAAAATGTTTCACTACTCGCCTAAAACACAGAATTAAGAGAGAATACGATTACCACATGCTTACCAAGTCACTGGATGTCTTCGAATTTCAATGGTGCATGAATGGTGCTGTGGCAATACTGGATGGAGAGATACTACGCTTCCCAGATGTACTGGATACTGGCTGAGAAAACAAGAGAGACAATCTGCTGTTAATAATATCGTTACATCATACTCGTATTTAACGTTTTTATATTATTGTGATTTTACAAATAAGCTTTTTATTGTATATAATGTAACCAATAATTTTATAATTCGTCACGGTATGTATTATATCGTCACATGTATGCATTGACTTGCATTGTGACATACACTCATAATATTTTATAAGTGAACATTGATACATGATTGATACTGTAATCGGAATTTGAGATTTTGACATAATTAGTCAATGTTATATTTTTCTATACTCGAAGAATAAAAATCAGAAATGAATGAATGAATGAATGAATGTTTGAATGAATGAATCCGTCAAACGTTTAATGACCACATGGCCCATTGAAAGAAAGAAAAAGAAATAAAGGAATTCACAGTCATTAATGGTTTGATGACGCGATCAATGAATTCAAATAAATGTATTGTAATTAACTGAAATCCACCACTTTATCGAATACAAGTAAATTCCTTGTATCGGGATGATGATGGCCGTATAGAAAATATGTGCTCACATTTCAAAATAATAATACGAGAAACAACTCTGTTCAGCTCGCGTGGTGCACGGGTGAATGCAAGATTTGCGGACACGATCATTTTGGTTGGATCAAAATACAGAATATACAGTACGGTGCTACTTACATACTTGGCATTTTGATGTATCGTGTTGTGGGTAAACCACTCTGACTGCTTACATTGATAAATATCCAGTGATATTCACATGAAAAACGTTTTTTACGACCGAATCGACAATGTATTTGTACTGCGTTGATGCTTCGAACACATAGAACTCTAGCGATTAATATTGTGGCGCCACCGACGCGGTACAATGGCCGTGACGCAGTGGCGTCGTCAAGCGAACGTCATCCGACATTCGGTGCATTTGTTATCCTAAACGAGGTACCGTAACGCCACTGAAATGGGTTCATTGAGATCCAAAACTATGTATAAATTGTTGAATGACCGTATTCTTTTCTTTTATTTTACCACGCCTAATGGCGATATTATTCAGTGTCTGCTTAGCTATTTTCAAAAATTTCCTTTCTTTCGGCCTGTGTGTGATAAAAAGTTTTGAATATGATATCTTAGACCCAAATATATTTGTTGGCACGGATCGAATCCATCCAAATTTATTTATTAATGGTGCTGATCTTATAAAACACGGCATTAGCTAGTAAAAGTCAGCTAGTGGAATAAACATACTTTGTAATTATTGAAACTTGATTATCTCATAACTGAATGACGTCACTTATCGCTCGCGCAATAATGACTAACTAATAAAAAATAATGTTTCTCCAACAAATTCGAGTCTTTCTAATAAATAATTGAAGATTTGGATTTCTCCCCATTAAAGGTGAGAAATGAGCCCACTCGGAGAAAATCCAGTTCGCCGCTCTAAATTCTCACCAAAAGAAACATTTCTCGCACCACATGGCGAGAATAAAAAAATCTTACCGATACGGGTGTCATTTGTTCGTTCTAGTCTCGTATTTTTCACTAACTGAGATTGCTTGGTCGTCATATGTGGCCAGGGTGGAGTCCATATATGCAGATCAATTTTCCCTGACAACACAACTTTAACAACTTTCCAGGCTGTATTTACTTATTAATATACAACTCTTGGGGCAGCGTGATCGAGTTTTGAATGAGAAACATTTTTCGCCACTGCATGGCGAGAATAAAAAAAGAGTACTTGATTGCTTGAGCGTAATGTGTCCAGGGTGGAGTCCATAATATAATATTACCATGTGCTTAAAAATGTATTATCGGTGAGGGCCTGTCTGAGTTACGACCAGACATGTCACGATTACGGACCTGACTTATTTAATGTACCTATTGTGTTTTTTTAGTAACCATGACCTGAGTCACGGCTTCACGAGGACGCCACCAACGGCGAACTAAGTCGATGCTTTTATCTGTCGTTATTTCAACACTAGGGGCGCACATACACCATCTTTTCAAAATGGCGATGGCGTCAACTACTGGTACAAATCCCTCGCAGCTTTTACCGCTTGGTAAATATAGTTATAAGTCGTTAGTCGTCATTTTGTGTGTGTAACTTATCTGGCGTTACAATGTATGCATGAAATCTCTATAGTTCTGGGATGTAGTATTCGCATGTTACATGAGAGAGTGAAAAAGTCGTGCCGTGGCCGGGTGACTCGGTGTTTCAATGACTTTATTTGAAAAGTGATGAATAATCTTGCAAACAAGTAAGAACAAGGAATTTGCAATTAACTTATGCATCTATCAATATTTTATGTATATTCTCTTTGTTAATTACGAGGGAGGGGGGGGGGACAGGCTTTTAGCCAGCCACCAGTCTTGCCATTTTAGACAGACGGCACTGCACATTTTGGACAGATACAACATTTCATTTGACAAAATGATCTACAAATCTGTCCAATTTCGATAGAAAACTGCCAGGGAATTACAAAATAACCACAAATAAGCAACAAAAAATCAAATTTTGAACTGTTATTTCTATTTTGCTTTTAGACAGGTACTTTCTATTTTTTGGTTATAACGGGGGGGGGGGGGGCGACTGCAAAAAATATCTCCTCACTAGTAGTTTTGAATGCTATGGTGTTTCTAAAAAAGTATGTTGGGAATTCAACAGTACCCAAAAATAAATTGAAAGTATAGCATTTATTGAGGGAATTACAAACATTTGTAGTTACAGGGGTTTTTCTAGAAAAAAACTGCAAGACTGGAGGGAGCACTTCAATGGGGGAGATCGGGTTCTCCCTACCAGGGTGTGACGTTTCTGATAAGTCCAAGTTAAAATGGAGCATCCTATGACTTCCTTGGGGCCAAAATTACTATCAGACAAGTCACAGTTGATCCCTGGTCAATCAGAATTTTATGGTTGCCAGAGGATCTGCTCCCCAGGGTGCATGGCCATAGCATGAGGGCGCTGCACCCCTGTTCCCTTGTTTAAAAAAATCACTGAGCTCGTCACAGTATATAATGGGGTGGTTTGGGGTGTCTTTAACCATCTGTTGGCTCTATAAACATCATTGTAAATATATTTGTTGTCACTTTTAGAAAAAAATTTTTTTTACAAGTATATGTCTAAACTGTAAGTCCTAATGGTTTCTATATTTGTAACATGGGACTCACAATTGTTCATTTGCCATTGTCAAAAATTAATCTGAATCTTTTGTTCAATACAGTTTAGTCACAGATAATATTGTTCACTCAATGTTTTACAATCATCTGGTGTTAGAATACATTCATATTTTTCGTACTGAATATGTTGGTAGTTTTCACTGTGTTTTTACTTTCTGATTTGAATTACACAACAACTGTCTTTGATAACTCACACAGCGTGTGATAAATATATAATCCCACAATCTCAACATTGACAGGATCTATTGATTACAGCCATAGTAATCTCGTATGGCTCAAACTAATACAAAACTGATTGTAATCAATCATGTATACTAATATCAGAGAATAATATATACATTCAAGCCTGGTGATTTAACAATAATGAATCCCCCCAGCCCCATGTTTACCCTTCTCTAAAACCAATATATTTCCCTGTGGAGGATTCTTTATTGGTATTATAAATCACCACCATCAGAATTAAACAAATTTCGTTAAATTTGGAGACTATTTATTGAAATAAATATCTTCTTCTTAGAGGTCTACATTATTACGTGATAATGCAAAGCTATGACATCATAAATATTTCTAATTCTGATAATGGTGATTTATGAAATGCAATAATATTAGTGCGGGGTTCTTTATTTCAATTTTATTACCCTGGACTGAAAATTTTAATGTGCGTCCAGTGATCGCATTATTTTTTGTGTTACAGTGGCTTATTGTCACTGTAAAACTTGTCCTAATATTTTTCAAAAATCACTATCTTTCGAACAATTCCATAGAGTAGAAAAAAACTAGAATGTTAAAAAAAAATTACACTTTTTAGCGCAAATTTATTTATTGTGCCATCACACATTGTCTTGAATCACTGCCCTGTTATCCTCTGATAATTGGTCAACAGGTGGCACTGATTACATATGAAAATTTGTGCTTACAACTGGCTTTTAATCTGTGTCGAAAACGTGCACAGAATGGTCGTTTTGTGCACGTTTTCGACACGGCTTACCAGCCACCTCAAGTGCCAAATCCATGAAATAAACAACCAATGTCAATAGAGTAGCCTAGGTGTTAAAAATAGATTAAGTACTGGCAAACCAAGTTCTGCATAGGTATGTCTCTAAACGCATGCTTTTTGATTGATATAGTCATTATTTTTGAACTCAGAAGCCCTCAAAACCTAATATTACATGCGAGAACAAAACAAATCCACTGAGATTTCACGTTTTCCCCGTAAAAGGGATGCTGGCTGTTCCCTCTCATGACTCCCTCCCCGCGTATACTAGTACTGGTACTACCAACTCTAACCATGTCCTCATTTGGTGACGCATGTTAAGCTATAAATGGGCATCAATACTCATTTCGCCCAATATTTCGCTTTTATAACATTTTAATCAACAGCATATCGCTTAATTTCCGACCGGAAAAACAACCATGTTTTTATCCCTTTTTTTTCACTGACCGCTTGTTCAAACACTGAACACTGGCACATGAATTGTCGAAATGGTTGTTTTAGTTTTAGGATTCAATGAGTATTAACCATTATTTAATTTGGAATGACACTTCCAAACCATCATACTTTGTTTCGTTCGCGAACGCAACTTGAACTATGACCTCTTGTTATGTGAACGTTCCACAACAAGCTGATAGAGCGAGACTGTGTTCTGTTTGAATCCAGGGCTGCTACCTCATTTTAACAATATGATTATTGAGACATTTACGTGATACAGGCAATGCTAACTCCTTAGGACAGAGAGCAGAGACAAGAGGAACATATTGATGCCATGGCCATGTATTTAAAATGCGAGCGTGCAGATGGGCGATATTTCTGGGTTCGCGCGGTTGAAAAATTAAGTGGAAATTATTCAACATGCGGTTGCAAAAGCGTGTAAAAATAATGATCGAAAAGCAGAAGCGAACAGGAGGTTGGGTGAAATTAGTGCTGTACATTCAGGTCCTTTGGAAAAAATACGATCGGCCGAGATCTATATCATTCTGAAGCACGCCAGAGACAGACAAAATGCAGTTTTAAATATTTAAATATTTGTTCGATCGAAACAGACTCGTTTTACAAGTTTTAACGGCTACGTTCTGCTGAAGATATAAGACTTCACTTTCGGAGTTATTACCGAAGATAATGTACGACAGCAAAAAAACAACAACATTTGGTTATGTGAAATGGATTAGCATTCATGTAGGTCCAATCAGTACTGTTGTATCGTCTATTTCGTCAACCGAACGTTACTACCCGGACTTGCTTGTCGATTATTATTGCAAATGTCATTTCTTTCTCTCTGGTCAATGAATCCAGAATCAATTAGGTATAAGTACGTTATTTTAGAATGATTTTCATTTGATAGTTAATCTGATTTATCATATAGCATTATAAACAGGAAGTCCTCGGCATGGGTCAGAAAACTAGTATACCCCAGACCACTCGTTTTGATGAATAGTCTGGGTGTGGCTTGTGGGTAAGAATAGAAAATGGATTTCGGTGAGGTTGTGATTATTTGGATTTTTGACAACGAATTTTTACTATTGAAATGAAATTATCACGTCTAGGGGTGAATTGTTCATAGGTGAAGTGATGTTAAAAACATAAGTAGTTCATCGTCTTGCGTACACCGCAACAACAAAGGTTTATTTTTCAACACAGATCTCCAGTCAAGAGGGTGGCGTTTGGACGTAACCCCTGAGTTAAACCATAGACAATATAGTAGGAAGCAACTCCAGCGATTCTATTGTAGCAGGGTAGGCTGAAAAAAAGTTAAGCTGCTTTAAAATAACCATTAACATAAACTAAATGTTTATTTTGATTTTTCGTTTTCGCATGTTTTTAGGCGGCGAGAGTCGTGAACTCTTGCGAAATGCGTAATTTCGTTGACGAGAGTTGCCTACGGTATTCTAAATGGCCGTTGCTGATCACGAGTTCCCGTGTGTAGATGATTTGCTCGATGTTTTTTTTTTTTATTTTGATGACGGTGAAGAAGATCCAAACGCAGTAGACACAGCAATTCATGTTAACAACTCTGTGTGTGTGATTCAGAGCCCGGGCATCAACATCGAAAATAGTGAAGATTTGCGTTTTCTTGATCATCAAATGAAAGAAACCCTTTGAAACGCTATCAAAAAACCAAAAATAGTGAAAATAAAATAATAAAAAAAATCGTGCCTCATTTATACACAAGTATTTGAGTTATTGTGTTGAAATTTTTAATAAAAACAGGGTATAATGTAGGTAGACGTGCATTCAAGATGTAGTCAAGATGGCGACAGACGTGAAAATGGAAGACGGAATGAAAGTCTATTAAAAAAAAATGCGAGACAGAGAACAACAAAAAACAAGCGTAGTCGATGAAAATAACAAAATTTGAAAATTCATGCATCATGAAAACAATAATATTCGTGTATTTTGTCGAATACGAGGTACAAACTTACACAAGCATTCTGTTTGAAAGAGTGTGAATAGGTAGTCAAGATGATGACAGACATGAAAACGAGCGATTTCAAAGTCTGTTTGAAAAAAAAATGTGTGGCAGAGGACAATAAAAAACGAGCATAGTCGGTGAAAAATAACATAATAAGAAGATTCATGCATCATGAGAACAAAAATATTCAAATATTTTGTCGAAGACAGGGTACAAACTTAATATAGCATGTACGGAAACATTACTGCCGTCTGAAACTAACTTTTAATTTTATTCAATTAAACAGGAACATATATATTAAAAGTAATATTTACTAGAGAACCATGTTCACGAGAACATCTGATAACTATTGTGTGTTCGAAAGATGCGTATTGCGGAAAGAAAACGACTCGTTTGGGAAAAGATACTTGTAGTTCGATACAAAAGTAGTGACATCGCATCAAAGTAAATATGACGTCATTGTTTATTTGCTCGTTATAATATTCCAGCCCAGCTTGCGTTGGGCATACAACGTTTGACTTTGATGTTACTATACTACTATACTGTCTATGGTTAAACAGGGCCTAAATTGATAGGGAGTAAAACACGGAAGGGGAAGAGCTGTCCATGCATTGACCAATCACACAAGAGCTCACAAACACCAAAGAAATATTTGTTGTTGTACTTAACGAAGGGGTTTGGCACTAAAAATAATGGAACGTTTATAGGCTTAACGTTGGATTTAGATCGTGTTATAATCCAAATCCCCTAGAAAGAGTTGTAAGCACCAATTTTCATATGTAACCAATGATAACCAGCTGTTGCAATGTATGATATTAAAATAAAATGTATAGAACAAGTTTGCCCATTTGTATCCATGACTTTTTTGAAGGTTACTACAACATCTATATTATCTATAATTATTTGATAATTTCTTGTTCATTTTAGAATTAGTAGATAAATGTATCGGATCCAGGATTCACATTGTGATGAAGAGTGACAAAGAAATCGTTGGAACACTACTCGGTTTTGATGACTTCGTCAGTATCCTTTTGTTCAAATCAAAGTAAATCAATTTACCTATTTCCTGTGGTAGCACTGTCCATTCATTAATGAGCGGGCAAACATTTTTAATTGCCATTTTCTAAGTTTAGTAATTTTCATTTATGTCTTTGATACAATCAATCATCAATGGTTGATATAACTTTTGGTTGTTAATTAAATATCATAATATACATGTATATACATGTTGGTCTATACAGGTATATAGCCTGCCTGTATATCACCTACTTTGATATTTTAAATATGACTATATCACTCAAATGCAGTGTATGGCCGAAATTCACTTACACACTTGTTGTGAATGGTAGCTGTGGGATTTCATTTATTGCCCTTGTTATTATGTTGCTGTTACTTTAAGTGCTAAAAATCCTTTTAAAGGGTGTCAGTTACATGTATATTTTCGTGTCAAAATATTTTAATTTCTTAATTGTAACTTAGATATGGTCTTAGAAGATGTTGTTGAATTGTAAGTAAAACTTTTTTTAACTTTGTCGAGCGGAGCTCATTATATGAGTGATTGGTGTACTTCGCTTAGATTTGTCCATTTCATGATGATATTTTTAATTCTCTAACTGATAAATATTATTGTCATTTTGGTAAAAAGTGATATTTTTGACTTCTTGCTAAAAACCGCATGTTTGAATGCTTGTATATTATAAAAAAAGGTAATACAGACAGACCTCTCTAAGATTTGTTCATGTCATGATGATATCTTCAATTCTCATTTCTAGCACTTTATCGATAAGCAAAATTGCAAAAAATGGGGGGGGGGGCAGGTTTTAAACTTATGTGCATCTTGTTGAGATGGTGGTGGACATTTTGTTTAATAAATGCGGTTTCCAAGCTGTGTCTCTTACATTCCTTGACCAGTCACAATCAAACTATATTTGTGCATCATGCATCTTGATGTGGATATGCATATTAATTGTGCGACCATCATATTCAAATTCATTAAAATCAAGCAGTCTTGTAGTTTTGTTTGGGAGGGGGAGAGGGGGTAAAGTTTGTGCTGTACATGCTTGTCTTCTAGCTTGTCCTGTTATTTTGAACATTTAAATAATATCTGGTCAAGTCTTGCAAAAGTACAAGATCAGGGTAGATACTTATACATACACCATGGGAATCATTATTGGTCATTCAATAGGTGTATACAGATACTATGAAATACTTTGAAATATTGCTAAATACCATTTCAGTGAACTCATTGAATTAATTATCAACCAGGGAAATTTTCAAAGTAGACAGCTAGATTCTGAAAGTAGGAGGCCAAGATATGACACTGTCCCATAGGATGAAAGTTTTAAAAACATTTAGTAGCTGGTTTATCAAACCCAGTAGTCTGATATTCAGCTGACCCAAACCTTCTAATGAACTACATTTGCTACATTGTGAATTTGCAAAATTACAGATTAGTTAAAATATTGTGCTTTACAGTAATGTACCCTTTATTTTTGTTAGTGAAAACACACCAGAAGGGAGACGAGTGACAAAGCTAGAACAAATTTTGCTGAATGGTAACAATATTACTATGGTAAGAAACCATGTAACACTAATTTTGATTATATTAAAACTCTCTGGTGGCTTGTGAGAATGCCTTACCAGAAAATATAGCTAAATTTACACATGTCTTTACTACATGTATCAACACAACAAACCCATTACTTTTATTTTTATAAATTTCAGTGGCAATTGAAGTCAATCAACGAGTGCAGTACACACACACACACAATTGTATCATTTTAAAATGTTACGTTATTCCATTGATCTTGTTTCAATTTGAATTGTGAAATTTATAAATATTTATAAAAATGAAAGGAATGGGTTTGTTGTGTCAGAAGTAATGATAAGTTTACTGTATTCTCGGGGGCAGACATTCAGGCATTTTTAGACTCCCCAGTTGTTCAGACTCCCGTGAATAGTGTAAAAAAGATAACCCCTGCATGTGTAACATACATAAATTTAGTTGTTCAGGATTACTTCAAAGTTGAGTTTGTGTTGTTTTCTCGAATTTTCACCGGCTCGACCGGCGTTCCACAGCAGCGCGCACAGAGCCCATAGAAATACATGGTACAGTGGTGCGCGTCTTAGCAACGTAGAATGTCTTGTGACGTAGCTCTGCCCCCAAGAATTTCAAATATTCTCTCATAAAATAAGCCTAAATTTGTTTTCTACACCCCAGTTTCTCTAACGCTACCAATAATTATGTGAAGTGTGAATACTTCAATCTTCTATGCATTTCTTGGTACAGGTACCACTAAGTCTGTGAAGGTTATTTCATAGACATACCTAGTAATACAGTCAACAGGATTTCAAGTGTCCTATCACTTTCCCTTCAATCACACATTCATATTCTGACCATCCTCGCATACAGCTATAAAAACTGTGGTGAAGATGACTAATTTCTTATTTGTTTTATTTTATTCCAGTTAATTCCAGGAAGTGAAGGCCCAGAAATATAGGACTATCACAGTGAAGATATTTATATTTTGTAGTCATTTGTTATTTAGTAGAATATTTGAAACTGATTTGTATGGAAACTATCCATACACATATAAACACTAAAGTTCCACAATGCATTGTGTTTTTTCAGTTTATTTGGAGTTGACAGAACTCCCAAGTTTTTGTCATAAATAGTACATTTTAATCATGTGTTGTAAATCTATTCTTGTTTAAACAAAAAAAAATGATTTTATACAATAAAAACTTGTATCCGTAAATAAAACAAATAACACATCAAATCCTGATTTTTGGAATGATTGATGAATTTGTGATATTGTAGGATTAAATAAATTTGAACACAATAAACATTTCCAATATGGAAATAGTTCAATTGGCAATTCACCAACTCAGTGAACATAAGTATTGCAATTGAGTTGCAGTTGAGTTTGGATACTGGTAAATCTCAATCTCTTTGTACATTGTAGAGACAGTCTTCTGTAAGGCATGAAGTGTTGTGTTGGCCAGGTTCTATTTAAGCAATTACCTTGAAATCCTCTGGGGCGGAGCTACGTCACAAGATGTTCTACGTTGCTAAGATGGGCCCCACTCTACCACATATTTCTATGTGCGAAGAGCCGTTTGAAAATTCGAGAAAACAACAACTCAACTTTGAAGTAATCCTGAACAATCAAATTTATATGCGTTACACATCTTGTTACACTGTAGAGGGGAGTCTTAACGACCATCCCAATGTACTGTTTTCTGAGAGTTTTCGGCTTTTGTTACCACCGTGATGGTTACCATGCGGTGAAAATGCCCGGATGTCCGCCCCCATAGATAGTAATGAATTCCTAAAGTAAAATTATTTAAACATCTGTATTTGGTGTGCTATGAACACGTTGACTAGCTTACTGTGAACTGCTTAAGTTTTGCCATTTGAAGATTTTGTATTGATTTATATCATCAATAACAATACATTTACATCCAGGAAAAGACGATAACACTAGTAGTGTAGATAATAATAATAGTGCTGTATAAGTTTTCCACCACTCGTTTCCTCTTTTCATCACACATTCACCAAAATATGCCTGTTTATAATCTGCACTTTCCTTCGGGCAATTTTTTTAGTAACAACTGAAAATTTGCTTAAATATTGCCTGTTGACTCCAAAAATAGGGTTCATTTCCAGAATTATTGAGATATAAAAAGTGCAGAAAATTTGGGTGAGAAA